TGGGGAATTGTGTAGAAACGAACAACAGTCAGATGCTCCATTCAAATGCATCATCTAGATGTTCCATTCAGATGCATCATCCAACTACACAAACGAACAGCTCCTAAGAAATTAGCAATTGATAGGCATGAGAAAAATTAATAACAAGGAACTAAACAATTTTAACGTCTTTCTTGTTGGAAGAATGTGTGACGCCGGTTACTATTTTATTTGATATAAACGGGTTATTGTTGTATCTGTAACTATGCCATTGCTACTACATTCGACTTGGTGGCCTAGCTCTGAGACGTCTTGGCTTGGTTTGAATCCTAAAAAGAGCGGACGATCAACAAAGTGACGCGCCCTTCGCCACTCTTGTTTGCTTTGGCCTGCCTATGCGTGAGGTATACCTCCGCAAGTGCGCATATCTTAAGGGCATTTTAGAGGCGCAATAAAGCCGGATTGATTCCCTCCGGACGGACATAAGGATACTTTGAAGTAGGTTGCTCGCTTTGTCTAGTTGTGCTGCCTGGGCGGAAGTGTAAATTCATCGATCGAGTTGGCGTCCCTAAGCCTGAGATCAACGATGAGGATGAATAGTTGGGGATAGTGCAGAGAATGCTCTGCTGGTGTCTGATTTCTAAGGCACCAACGCTTCGCTGAGCTACAGACGAAGCGATTAAAAGAGCCAGATCAAAGAGTTAAAACTTGGCGGCGCGTTGAGTGGTTTTCCATCTGCGTGGAGAAGGATTGGCGGATAGCTCTCATGGGCGTGCGACTAGCTTCATGTATGATTCTAGTCCGGGAGCTTTCCTTTTTTCATTAGAACGTTTTGTCTTCCATCTTCTTTCTAGTGCCAATTGTTCGGATCTTACGGAAAGGTTAATTATGGCTACCATAGCATCTATGTTTTGAAATTCCAATTATTATTTACAAAAAGTTTGGATCATTTTCGCTCTGTTTCCACTTTTTAAAAGTGCAGTGTTATAATAGAAATCTGCAGAGAATAAGAAAACAAAACTATGATGAAAAAACACACGAAATATCTTTTCTTAAGCCATGTGAAGAATTTTTATCTGAACAAAATTTCTTTGGTTACACATGAATGAAGAAATATACCTGTACAGATCTATTAATCTCACAAGCTGCAACAACAGGGCAAACACCGACAATAGGGGGGCTGGAACAGGTAATTCTACACACTGTGGTTTATTAGGGAGATGAAAAGAATCTGACTTTTGCTATCTGAAACAATTTGAATCATGGAGACATCCAAAACCGAACCAAACCAATAGGAGCTTCTTCTTTTCTATGAAGTTCGGTTTCAAAAGGCTAAAGCTCTACCTGAGGAACTATCAAAACTCTTCAGCTCAGGACACGGCTCAGGGACCACGGATTCTGAAGACCCATCAACATATGAGCATTGCCAAGAATCAGCAGCAGAACCCGAGTTCATCATCGAGAGAGAAATATTTGACAACAAAACCGAAGTGAAAGGAGACTCTTTGGTTCCAAAGAAAGCCCCGGCGATGCTTATGTTTTCTCCAACAATGTCATGTAATCTGATGTGACTCACGAGTGGGAAAGCTTTTGCGTCGAAACCAGAATCCGGGTGAGTTCCGAAGCTACCATTGGCTAGAAACGCAGTACCAACATTAACCATATGGATGCCGGAAATATCGATCTCTTTCATGTAACCGCCTCTTCCTTTTGTTGTTCTAAAAGCAATCCCCGAGAATGAGTTGTGTATATGAGCATCGCTGACCTCGACATCAGATATTCCACCAGACATTTCACTGCCAAAGGAAATGGACGAACCAGAGGCTGCTTGGAGGTACACATTTCTTATCTGGACATTCGCAGTAGGTCGAGCATACGAAATACCATATTCGTCGCAACCACTTTTCAGGGAAATGGCATCATAGCCCATGTTGATGCTAGAATCGTGGATGCAAACATTATCAGAAGAATCTACGAAAAAATGAAAACAAGACAAACAGTTTGAGATTCTAGGGATGCAATTGTTCTGCATTTGCATATACAAGTCACATTTCTCTAAAACTAGAACAGTCTCTAAAACTAGAACATTTGCAGTTTCAAGGTATTTCTGAACAAGTGTAAAACACAAAAGGGGCTCAGAACAACTAACCCGGGACAATGCCGATGGTATAAGGAGATTCTGGAGAAGTATTTGCTGTTACTTTATGAATGTATACATGGCTGCAGAATATCAGTGACCAGAGTCAAAAATTTACCAAGTTTTTCAAAACCAGAGGAGCTATAATAGTAAGAAAGGCATTCTAGAACTCTATTTACCTACAATATACTGAATGGATAGTATAAGCCGGAGCATTCAAGAATGTAAGATTTGAGACAATGACATTTTCAGAAGAGACAAACTCAACGAGGTGAGGGCGACTGTACTCTAAAGAATGAGAATTAAACATATCCCACCAAGCCAGGCCTTGCCCATCTATAGTACCGTTATCACCTTAAAACCAACCGAGGAATATGGAATATATAAGGGTGAGTTTTTTATTTAGCATTAACAAACAAAATGAAATGAAAGGATCAAATCATGTATAACCTGTTACTACTACATCTTGTAGCATATCGCCATTTATCAAACTCATGTATCTCTTCCCAGGTAGATCAATGCCCCGTCCATACGACGGTAATGGATCCACAACTTCCCAATGCGATGGATCCTTCATACAGTTATGTTTGAAGTAAGATGAAAAGAGACAAAATGAAAAACAAATACACAAATGTTCTGATAGGTAACAATGCAAAACCATGGAACATATTTCCCTTGATTCTTGTCATTATTAATCTAGCTAAGTGGCAGATTCAAGATGAGGAAAAGACATGAAATCTCAGAAACTAGTCAGAAATTCGAAACTTCTTCTATGAAATAGCAAAGCCACACAAAGTCTAAACTCAAGTCTTTAGAATGGTCAAAAACTTTAGACAAAGAGAGGCGCACAAACAAACACACCTGGGAGGCAAGAATGACGGCGTCTCTATCGAGAAAGAGAGTGAGATGACTGGTGAGACTAAAACATCCAGTGAGCCAGCGTCCCGGAGGAACATAGAGCTGAGCACCACCTTTATGGGTGAAAGTCTTTAGATAGTACATAGCATTCTGAAAGGCGAGTGTGTTCAACGTTTTCCCATCTCCAACCGCACCAAACTCCAAAATTGACACACTGTGTGGTCTCGTGTCTGGTCTCCGACCAAGATCGCACACGTTTCCGGCGCCGTAACTCGGAATCAGTCTGCTCAATGCCAGCAGCAAAACTAATGCCAACTGAGAAAACAGTATAAAATCCGACAGTGAGACTAAGAGCTCCAAGCTCAGATCCGAACCGATACAAATCAAAGCCCAAACATTTTCCCATCGGATCCAGCAAAATGACGGAGACCCAGAAACCATAACGGGCTATGCGAATTGCAAAATCAAGGAAACAACGAATGATGGAATCAAGTTTCAAGCTTTGTCTAAAATTTCAATCAATCGAAATCAACCAATCTCAGACAAGACAGCAGAGTAAGAGGAGATAAGTTAAGTACTTACTGGCATCTTTATATGTCACAGGCAAAAAAGCTATCAGAAAACGAACAGAAACTAAAAAACAGGAAAAGGGAAGAACTTTTCGCGCCAAATGTAACCCGACAGTGAGAAACAAGGAGACAAGCGAAGACGAAGAACAGGTGAATGATGAAGGAGAAGAATTATGTATGACCACAGAGACAAAGAATTTTTTTTTTTTTACTTTTAATTTTGAGAGTAAACAGTATAAATGATTGAGAAGATGGAATTATTATTTATAAATAGTATAAAGAATAATAATTCCATAAAAAGAGAAATAAGCAAATAAGGTTGGAAAAGATTTAACGCTAAAAATGACACTTTTTTCTAGGGGTAATTACAAAAATATTATTTTTGTGTGTATTTTTGTAATAATACTATTTAAGAGTATCTATTTACAAAAATACCACT